TTTATTTTATGTTTTCACAAAAAAACTATGATAGGTCAAGAAAAAATGATATGTTTTTTGAAAAATGGCATACATTATTCTAGAGCAAAATGTATCAAAATGATATGTTTTAAAAGAATGATGAAAATTAGAAAAAGAAAGAGATCGAGAAAGAAGTAAAACGTAACAAAAATAAAATTAGAAGAAGATAGCCGACGAATAATCGGAAAAAAGGGAAGAAAAATTTAGAGAAGGCGAAAACGATAAATAAGAACAAATAAAAGAATTTGGGACAAGAGAAAGAGAAAGTCAGAGAAAAACGAAAGAAAACATTCAAAACATTTGTCTGGTTTTATATTTTGTTCTTTAAGGTTTTGTAGTTGTGTTAGTTCCTCTATTTTTTCGCCATATCTAACTTTTCCAATATTCTAAAACAAAATTACAAGCTCCAAAATTTTACATATTATTATTTCAACTACAAAAATTACAAATGAAGTACGTAAAATTTTAAGATAACATTCAAAACATTAAAAAAAAAAAATCCAAACGCATATTATATTCATACATGCATCCTCTATATATCAGAGGAGAAACATTTTTGGATTAATTTGCTTAAGTGTCAAATTCTCAAATTTTTGAAATTTTTAGTTAAAAATTAAATTCTATTATTAATTCTCTACTATACTACTACCCAAACACTCCTCAATCCTATTAATTCTCTACTATGATATTATCCAAACACAATCACACAATCCTTCCAACCAAACATCACTAGAAAACTTTTTTATTTAAAAAAAACGAAAAATAAAAGAAAGTTTACTATAAATATTCACTTATTCTTATAATTACCTTAAACCTATAAAATTTAATTCATATTTGCAATATTTTATTTTGTATATTTGAGTCATAAACCGTATTTTTGAAGATTATGATATTAAATAAATACATTTTATTAATAAGTGATATATATTGATTAAAAACAAAAAATTTGTTGTATTCAATTATTTCATGGGTGGGATACATTTATATACAAAATTATTGCAAAATTCATATATATACATATAAACGAATTTTAGATTCCGTATAATAATTTTTCCAATAACTATAGATGATATTTTAAACTAAAGTTATATTGATTTTACTAACGTATCACATTGTCCTGCGTATAACGCGAGTAACTATCTAGTATAAATTTAAACTTGCAATCATGTATTAAAAAAAATTAGATTGGTAAATTCGCATTATTAAGTATTGAGATTTCTTATTTATCTACAATTTCTCATATCCGCACACGGTGCGGGCTATTCATCTAGTTTTATATAAAAAAACTAAACTAAAATCTATATTGAATATCATTAGCAATTTTTTTTAACCACAAAATAATAATTTTATAATTTATTTGATTTTTTCAAAAATATTTAACCGCGTATAACGCGGAGAGTCATCTATTATAGAATTAAATCTACTGACTATTGATTATAATTATTATTAAAGGAAAAGCTACCTATGTTTTAATTTTTAAACAAATTTTTTTGTATATGTGACAATAAAAAGAAGAAAGATTATTTGATGGTAGTCGCAGATAACCTCAGAGATGAGATCTTCGAGATGCTTGGAAGTTTCGTGGACAAAGGTTACAATGTTTTCCTAGTAAATCCGAGCAAGGACACCGGACCAGAACGCCATGATTGGCCAGGATCACTGCTAGATCAAGTACACGCTTTTGCTTTCGGAGCGAGAGCGAAAGCCCACAACATAGAAAGTGTAAAGCCGGAGATGATGTGTAAATATCTAGCTTTTGTTTGTTTGTTTGTTGCAACTAACAAAACGTTTGATTTTTATTTCTACTCGCTTAATTTATCAAGAATCGGAATTTTTTTGGTTGTTCTAACCCTGAGTCGAACCACGAGATGGATTATAACCCCCGAACACATTTGACAGTCATTAAGTTTTGCATGCTTTACATGTGAATGCTCATGTACGAGACAAGAAATGCTTTGGAATCCACTGAAATTACTTGTGTGCTCTTAAAGTTTCCATTTACCAACATTAGATTCTAAGTTAAGCACACAAAATCCTCTTTGGTAAAATCATCGAAAATGTCGGAATATATCTTAGGATTCAGATCAGTGGGAAAGGGGCAATCTCAGCACAGCTTCTTCTGTCTCCATTGGGTCCGATCTCAGAATCTACCGAATAAAACGACACAATCATTCAAGAAACCATTGGACTCAAAAATGGGCTGAGGTTTAACAGTTTTCTTCTCTTCGGATTGAAGAAAAATCGAGGCTTTCGTCGTCGCCGGAGTCTCTGTAGATTTCCCCATCGTTCTCTATTGAGAAGATAAGTCGTCAAGTTTTGTTGGTTTTGCCGATTTCGCACGTGCAAACAATTGGGCCCGCATTGGGCTTTCAGCCCATTTGTTTTTAACTCGAGCGCTTTATATAAAGATTGATTGAATCTTAATCGGCTTTGTTTTCTTTTATCTTCAGCTCTTAATGTTTTAAGTTTCTTCACAGGGATTAATTGAAATCAAACGACGATGTATCTTCAGTGCTATATCAACGACAAGGGTGAGAAGGTTTACACCACTTTACTTTGCTCAATCTCGTCTCTTTGTGTGCTTTTCATTCGTATGTGTAGTCTTGTTCTTGTGTTTATAGATTCGGAATCAAAATCTCTTTCTTAATTTCTTTTTTTTTTGTTAGAGATTGTAATCATTTGGTGATATTTCTGAGTAAAGTTACAGATTTTTTAGTTAATCTTGCAAGGTATTTCCTTAGAAGAGAGTAGCTTGACCTAAGTGTTAAACCCTTCTCAAGTGATAGTTATCTCAGATACATAAAGCTCTGTTTTTGTTAGAGATTGTAATAATTGGTCACATTTCTGAGGAAAGATACAGACTTTACAAGCTGGTCATATTGCTGTTTAATCTTCCTCTGTGTAGCACTGCTCTGGAATTGAAATTCCAAACAATTTTGAACGTCCCGAGTATGAAGCTCTAGCTGAGAAGAAACGCAAAGCGCTTGCTGATTCTCAACGGTTAGTTTTTCCCACTGCTCCTGTTGTTGAGCGAGGTCCTGAGATTCTGCAATTCAATGAACAAACTGGTACTTTACTTTCTTGCCTGAGGATCCTTCAAGTTGAAAAATCACTCTCTGCCCAACTTGAAGGGTGAATATGCATACCCATAAGTTTTATTCGGTTTAATGCTTCATACTTGTCAATGTAATTCAAAAATCCAATTCAAGTAACATTTAGATGGATTTGTTGCTCAAGTACTTCCCTTGCGTTGCCTTACATTTCTTTTGAGTTGGTTATTTGTTTGTGAATGTGACAGTGACGGTACAGAGAAGAGAGCCAAGTGTGATGGTACTGACATCTCGAATAGCAACTCTGGCATGGAGGGGTTCATCGAATTCATGTCTTCTGGTCGCCGACGAAAGTCTAGAAAGGTGTGCTTTAGGATAGCTACTATTTTCATGTCACAATTTGACTTGTAATATATTGTGTCTTAACTCCGTCTCTTGTAGCAAGAACTTTGACCTTTTGCTAGTATTAGGCTCTTTAAAAAGTTTGAATTGCATGCTTGTTCTTTAACCATATTGAAATTAGAAGCATGAATTTGTACTTCATTTGTGCATTCTTTCGTGCTACATTCCAACGAAATTGTAGTATGGGCCAACTGTATTCATATCAATCTGGTAATACTGCATATGCTGCCACGTCTTTTTAAAATATAATCTTTATACTTGTGCAGCATATAAAGACAGGGATCAAAGAAAGAAGTTGCACCTGAAATTCAAAAGAGGTTTGGCGAGGCTCTTCTTCTTCATGCACATGGCCGTGACGATGAGGTAATCCATATGAAGTGGTCATTTTCTGTTGGTATCGTGCTTCTTAACATCCTGAAAGAATATGATCCTTCTCTACCACAATATAGTTTGATTATTAACATATCAGATATTACTGCTTTTTCCTTAATATTGTTGAGTGTGTGTATATATCATTAAAATTTATGTGGATTTACTTTCTTCCAGGCTTTACCTATTTTAATAGCCCTATGCTTCTTGAAGAAAAACGTACTTGGACCCATATGAACATCCGGCATGTCGTTAGGGTTCTTTCATTTAGTATCAGTAAAATCTAGTTTTTTATAAGTATTTTGTATGCTAGCCTTACACTATATTTACACTCAGCCTGATGAAAAGTTTAGGTTAAGGGGAAAAGAAAACGATGGGTTCCTTTGGAGCTTCAAAGAAACAAAAGACGCCGACGTCCTAGAGATGCTCAAGATTCCCAGTGAGTGTAGTATAAATACACCATACTTTTTAAGCCCATTATTCTTAACTTATGTTCTGAAACATGTTGAACAAGGTTGAGAGGTGGACCCACAAAATGGCGCAAAATCAGGGCTACATTAAATGAAACAAAAAGAATTAGAGAACGAGCTGCTATTAAAGCTCGTAAGGAAGATATCTGCAGTGAATCTGAGGTAACCATCAATGTCCACACAATTTCACCTTCCTCTGTTACCTGATAAAACTTGTACCAAATTTGGTTACTTATTGTGGGTTACAATATGCCTGGCGGCTTTTTGTTTGTTTGTATACCATTTTCGCTGACTCTGTCCTCTTTGTTTTTTAAATGCATAAAATGTATTTGCCTGTATATTGACTGGGGTTATCCTTTGGCTTTTCTACTCAGGGAGAAGCTATCAAGGATGAAGAGTATCACGGTCTCTTTGTAGATGTAATTGCCTTTTCCCTCTTACCGTTATGTAGTTGATTGCATATGTTGCTTTCACATACATTTTTTTCTTGCTTGAGACCGTATAACTTCCTTGCTTGCATCTTGCTATATGTTGGTATGACTCCTGAAGATGTCTGTTTTGTAGTTGTGCAAGGCTTTGGCATCGCTGCAAAGATATTGGGAAGCTCTGGAGATAGTTAATCTGGCTCGCAGATTGGACGCCAATATGCTGCCTGTTGAAAAGAAGAAGGAGCTTCAGTCACTTGGAGCTAGTAAGTAATCTTCTAACCCAAGATTTATAGATAAGTCACTAAGACTTATAGATAAGTCATTGTCTTTTAGATTTTTCCTGTTGGTTTTGTATCTCTTGTTTACGCCTCTTTCTTCTTTTGATGTTTACAGAAATATCGTGTGATACTATGGATCCAAAGCAGTGGTTTGACTGTGTAAGATCTGTCATTCAGCAGCATCCATACCGTTTGAACGCCTGGAACTGCTATTACAAAGTCATTTCAAGGTATACACACGGCGGCTTTTAACATGCAAAGTATCGTAATCCCGGTTTTTGCTTGCGGTATGAATATCATAGAACTATGTGCAGATTAGGGAAAAGAGCATCGGCTGAAGCTAAYTTCATGCATCACTTAAGAAGCAAGTACAGAGATTGTGTACCGCCCATTCTTATTGCMGGTCATCACTTCACTGTCYCAAGCCGACATCAAGATGCTGCTAGAGAATACCTTGAAGCATATAAACTAATGCCCGATAGTCCTTTGATTAACCTCTGTGTAGGTACGTATGTATCTTATATTTGTTCTCTTTCGCTTTCCCTAGTTTGCGAAATCAATTAAACTAAAGTTTCACCTGTTTCTTTTTTTTTTTTTTCAGGAGCTGCGTTAATCAACTAAGCCCTTGGTTTCCGACTCAAAAACAGACACGAGTGTCTGGCTCAAGGCTTTGCATTTCTGTACAAGAATCTCAGAATCTGCAATAACAGCAGGAGGCGTTGTATAACATTGCTCGAGCGTATCAGCACGTAGGACTCGTGACTCTTGCGGCTTCATACTACGAGAAGGTTTTAGTGGTTTACGAGAAAGAATATCCAGTGCCGAATGAAGATCCGGAGCGTAAGGCTGTGAATTGTGAAGCTGCACACAATCTACATTTGATATATGAGCAAAGTGGAGCGTTTGATCTGGCGAGGCAAGTCTTAAAGGATCACTGCACTTTCTGAGTCTCGTTATCGTTGTTAAATTCTAAAAGGAACGTTGTCTTATTAATTAACGGGCAATGTATGTATGTCTGAAAATAGAAAATGGTAGTAGAATCAAAACTGGGCGATTAAGATGACCAAAATAGATGTAGCAGCACTTAAGTCGGAATTCCAAGTGAAGAAAAGGCATCTCTTCTCCGAACTGATCATTCTCTCAGCCCATTTCCAGCTGCAAAATAACAAACACTTGCATCAGATTGGTGCTATACTGAGAGAGCCAACTCTCTTCTTAGAGGGAACAAAACAATTCAGAATTACAATGTTAGAAACCACCACAAGCAAACCAAACAAACTATAGAGTTTTTTTTTTTTAGGAAAGACTTGACACTTCCAGTATCTTCTAATAAGCCCAA